TCGCTGCGGGAGCGGTTTTGTGCGCTTGGGCTGGCCTGTACGGGAGGTGTACCGGCATTTACTTGTGTGCTTCCCCAAAAGTACACGCTTTTTTGGAGAAAGTGCCCACTGGGGCAAGTGTACCTGAGTTGTAGCGCTTATGAAGCTCTTTTTGGAGAGCCTGGCTATTCCGCCAAGGTAATTTGTACTGAAAGCGGCGGTAAATGCTGTTGTAGCCACAGTGGGACGGCAGTGTTACTATGCTGTTTTGTTTTTGGGAAGGTAGCTCCTTCGTTGTTTTTTTCTGGTATTTACAGCATTTCTTTCAGGTGTTTACAACTCTGGAGACTAAAGAGAGCGTGTTACCTTTGCAACTCAATCTTGAACTTTGATGCATGGTTCTGTTACTGATAAATTATATCCATAAACTGCTTATGTGTACTGTGTGTGATGCTAAGAGTGCCTGGGCTGCTTAGAGATGAATGAGGTGTGTTAATAGTTGTTATATCGCCTGCTTGTACTAGAAATGGAAAAGTTTAGACTGCATGTAAATATAACTCAGATTAAATTTAAATGTCAGGTGGCTTTCTTATCATGCAATTCTATGTTGTTTCTTTAGTGGAATTGAAAGTAAACATCCCCAAAATAACTTACTAATACATAATACTTCCCTGTCCCCTGTGCTGCTGTGCCCCCCCAAAAAAAAAAAAGAAAAAATGTCAGAGCATTAATCTTGACAGCTTTTTCTTGGAGCTAGCACAGCGAGGTCTGTGTAGGTAGTACCAAGTTTTCAGTAGCATAGGTTGTCATCACAGGAAGTAAGGAACGAAGTCAAACCTGAGCAAATAGACTCTATTTATTTGCCTCTGTTCCATGCTAATGCTTCCTGTGGCGACAGCTGTGGCTGGCCAAGTAGGTGACATGACAACAGTCCGTAGTGGTAGGTGAAAGGCTTCAAGGCTATGTGAGACCTTACTGTCGTAAAGTTAGGGGTAACTGATTTTATTTAAGTTTATGAGAGAATATCTATTAATGTATCTTAATGCATGCATTTATTTATTTATTTGAGTGGTAATTGAGAGAACCTAAAAGTGATTCTTTAATTTTATTCCAGACTGCTGCGTGGTGATAGGATTTCTGTGCTGGGGCATGGCTCTGTCAGCACTTTTTTCAATTGTATTATTGAACCATTGGGTTGATAAAATGGTTTTTATGTAATAATTAGGGAAATACTGCTATTGCTTTTATGATTTCTAGGTGTTCCAGTTACAAGTTGTTAAAAACTTCTTCTTCTTGTATTTGAATCCCTGTATTGCAGGGAATTGAGTATTGAGATCAATCATGCCCAACTGTGTGTGTCTGTGACACATCTTCTTTGTTTGCAGAGTTCTTATTTAAGACTAAAGTAAAAAACAAATTAAGAAACTTGAAAATAATGTCAGGTTTTCACTGCACTAAGAGATATGCATAGTACAGATAACTGGCTTTAAAAATCTTTTGATAATTTTTTCGCAGTGTGAAGTCTGATCTTTTATTGTTTCCAACATTTAAGTTGAGCTTAAGGTAGAACACTGATGATTTGCAAAATGGATGCAATACACAGTTTAACCTATTGTAGAGACCAAGATTTTCTTTTTCATCCAACCTTTTTGTTAATGTATAATGCATGTAATGATACAAGATCAAACAGCAGTCAGATATGCCAGAATGAATTTTAAGTTTAAAAGATAGTAAACCTGTATTTTTTTCTATCACAGAATCTGTTCAGTAAGCACAAACATTACATTATATATATATATGATATTCTTAAAGCATGAGTAGATTACTTTCCAATTGCTGTCATAATTTGGCTGCTTCTTTGTATATCATTTAATGAAAAATTAATTTTACTTTTACTTCATGATCAGCTGCATCTTCATGTTCTTATGATGTAGTCAAGTGTTTCTTCTCATATATTGTGTACCTCATTGTGGAATGTTTGAAATAAGAAACATATTCCACTGTAATATGTTACTTTTCCTTCAGTTGAAAACTCTTGTGTCATGGAATTTTTCTAAAATTAAACTTAAAATGGAAGGGAGCAAATAAAAATTAATTTTTAAACATACATAAAGTAAGTAGTAATTGTGAAACTTATGAGCATATAGTATTTTTATTTAGTATCTTCTCCTGAAAGGAGGTAAAACTAGGCCACAATCACAATTCTTTTATGCAACTTATTGAAATGTATTCTAGGTTATCTGAATTTTTAAACCAAGAGTGTAAAAGGTAAACAGTATTTCTTGTTGCCTAATTTCATTTTTTTTTTTTTAATGTAGGTAAAAGGATACATGTTCACTTCAAGTAGAAGGGAGCATGTTCCCAAATTCCTCCAACTTAGGTCGTCTACCCTTCCTGCGAAAACATCAACAACAGAGTAATTTCTTTACTAAACTTCCTCTAAATATACCACCTACTTTTCTTTCTCACCAGCAAATTATTGATGCTCAGTTTAATTTTCAGAATGCAGTGTAAGTATAGTTAGATTTGATAATGGGGATTGGGTTGAAAAAGAGTCTTTTGAAAGAAGTATTTCTGTTTATGGAGGATGTTTTTCACTGTTTTCAACATTAAACTGCATTAAACTTTACACAGACACCTTCTTATTTTTCAAAACAGAGCTGTATCAATTCTATTGGTGACATGCAAGTTTTAATGTTCTCCTCCATTATGCATAATTCGTGAGCTCTGTTGCACTGATTAGAATTAATAATCCACAATTCAGCTTTGAAGACCTTCAGTTTTATTTGTTCACTGAGGAAAACAGGAGGGAGATGAGAAGGGGAAGAAACATTTATTCTTGGGGTTAAATTTCAAGACACGATAGTATACTTTTAGGTTCTTAAATTTAACAGTACCTTAATTTGTTTGCAAATCTCTTCTTATGTGTGTGCTGTGAAGAGTGACCATCTTCTATTTTTTTAATGAAAAATATATTATGTACTGAAATAGCTCTTAATTTTAGATAGAAAGGACAGATGTATTGCTTCTAAGAAAAAATTTACAGGACTTGCTGAGTTTCATATTCAACCCATAAAAAGCATCTTAATTATCATATGAATAACAGTTATGGATTGTAGTCTTTCCAGGGCTCTCTTGAGTGGGAACCTTGCAACTATTCCAGCTGGTAGACCGCAGTCACTGACTTACGGAAATGGCAGTCCAGTACATTTGTCTGATGCCCCTGCATCATTCCGAGGAAGAAAGTAAGTTCTTTGTATGTGATTAATTCTGGTTGTAATATACCCTTGGTGAAGCTTGTCTAATATCAATTTGTTATGCAACTTTATGATTTTACTAATTATGTGATGCTTTATTTTTCAAGTACAAAGTGCTAAATTCAAGCATATGTATGTTCTTTTTTTAAGAGGAATTTTATGGAAACATAGTTTTTCTACTTTTCAAAAAACTAAACTTACGTGAATTTACTTAACTTCCTTTGTTACTTTAGTTGCAACAAAGAGGAATTTCAGATGAACACATGGTTTTATTTTCTTTTAACATTCTAGAAAAAAATCACTTTTATCAGTTCAGAAATAGTAGTTGATATGTGTTTGTAATAATTCTGTGAATCAGAATTTATGTAATCTATCTTCAAAACTATTTCCTGTATTTCTCCTCCAGGTTTAACAGATGAGAAAATAAGTACAATGAAATATATGGTATTGAGTTATAGTTGAGTATATAACTATCACATAAATTTAAAAGTTCCTGGTTTCATGCTGCATGCATGTTTTCATCTTGTCCAGCCTGGTTTATGGAAAGCTGTGCTATGTTAGGAGATTTGCAGTCGAGTAGTTAATCCTTAGTTCTTGAGTCGACTCTTCACAAGAGTGTTTTTGCTGAACACGAGTTCATCCAAGTTCTTTTCAGTCAAAATAGGCTGAAACAGTGTTATGTTTTGATTTAACGTTACATTGAGTTGCCTGTAAGATTGCAGGTAGGTAATGTTATCAGAACTTCTTTCAGACTTGAAAACTGAAATGATGACTTCAGGTGTCTTCAGTTAGATTTTTATTATTAATACTACTATCTGTCCAGGTCCCCAAACTGTTTTCATGCCGGCTTTTCTGTCTACAAGAAATGACTGTAGTTTTATTAATATTTAATTCATATGAACATTCGATTTCATGCTTTTTAATTAAAAAATGTATGAGTACCCCCATACTGGTTAACTTTGTGCAATACTTGATGTATAAAGAAAACATGAATGTCCTCTCTTACTCATTACTGTGGATGGACCACAGTATTCAACCACTGTTCAGCTTTCAGTACATTTTCTTAATGAAGAATTCACATGCCAAGGGGCTGTCTGTAAGATCGCTATGTCTCTTCAAATATATTTGAATTCCTGTGGCAAATGACTTACTGAGGACATAGAGACTAGTGTTTGAAAGTGAGGCATTAGGTTTATGATCTGTGTAGCTTAATACAATCATTTTGACTTGTCAAATGAATAGTGTTTTCTTTTTTGCCTAGATTACACAGTTTACAGTCTAAGACAGACAAATGTTACTCTTTGAATGGCTGTTGTGATAAATTCAGTAGTGGGGAGGGGAGAAAAATAACCTTATTCATCACTGGGTATTTGGAACTCACAAAACTTCTTGCTGCACTTACATTGATTTAAAAGAAAAGTACCCTTATATAGTCTGTATGTATCCTTTTTTTAAAAAAAAAAAAAAAGTACGTAACCACCAAAATAGCATGGCCCGTTTTCTGAGATGTCTTTAACTGGCCATTTGTTTCAATTGCTTAATACGGATGCTCTTGTACAGCAGTTGCGCCAATTCACTTCAAGTATAGCTGCACTTTTGCAGTTGTGTGTTCTCTTTTTCCATTCCAAGTTTATTTCACCTAATATCCAGGATGGGCATACGTTTTGTTCTGTAGAATACTTGCTTTTAGTGTAATAGTCACATAATTAATCATTGGTATTTGTACTTTGTAGCACTTCTAATCATAGGTTGGAGCTTGCAAAGTAGAGGAATTACTGTCTCTTTTTTTATTTTAGGAGACTAAGGGAACAAAGTATTCCAGAGGATGTCAAACGACAGCGATTTCATTCACATCATTGTGAAACAACTGTAGTTAACCAAGTAGTGCCTTTGCCAGAAGAACGTAGATATTCCTTCCCAGGATCAATTCATTCTCCGCTGTTCCATGCACATTACGTACCAGATTTAACTTCATGTGTTCCTCCATTGCAAGATAGTTTGTTTCCACGTCCTATAGAAACCACTCTCCCTGTGGCCAAAGATAAGGTATTATCTTTCTATGCCTGTGCTTTACATCTGCCTTCTTGAGTAGGCAGGGCCCAATGGTGCTGTGGAAGACCACAAACATTTCTGCGAGGTTTTTTGACAGCGTCATGGTGTCTCTATAGCTGAGCTGTCATTAGAAGGAATATCAATAAATGTAGCTGCTGCTATGGTCCTGTGTAGCCTCCTTGGATGTGTTTGGGTTTGGAGCATTTTTGGCGGGTAGGGGAGGTGTTTGCTTGTGGTGTTTGGTTTCCATATTAATGTCAGGAAAGCTATTTGTCTGCTGCAGGAAGTAGAAATTGGAGGGATGGTCCATCTGTGATGTGATTGGAGATGGGGAGAATCCTGATGAAAAATAAAACCACCCCACCCTAGTAATGTGAGAGAAGCCCATTCTGAATAAATACAGTATTGGACCTGTAAAGATGTCCTATGCCTCTCTTCAGCAGGAGATAAAGTTACTGTCCTAGCTGTTCTGGAATATTGAAGAGAATGTCTTCTTTAGGTGGAGGGTGGAGTTGGAACTGTGTTTTTCCTTCTTATTTTAAAACCCCCAAACATGTGGCTAATCAGTCTTCATAATTTATCTGCACCAACATGACAGAAGACTTTTTTTAGTATAAATATGTCTGTTGATTGTAGCATATAAGTGCTGTGAAAGAGAAACAGTTAATAATGTCTTCCACCAAAGACCTTACAACTACTTTAATAGTTTGCATGGAATAAAATAAGAAAGCTAACTTAAATCAGTTCTAATACTTATTTTTCCTTCCTTTTACTGATAGACAAACTGTTGACATTAAAGTCAGCAGAAGATATCTCTGATCTTTCACTGCTGAGTGAAATTCCCTGAAAGGCTGCAGATACTGATGAGGCAAAAATTATTTTCTGTGTACAGACATTTTATAACATATTGAACAAATTTAGATTTAAAAACTTTGCAGAATATTTTTCTGAGGAGTTGTTCAATATGAATTCAAGTCCGGTAAAACTCTAGACAGTGGAATAGGTTGTGTGAAATGATGCTGGATATTTTAATTTTTTTTAATGCAGTCTTCCATGTTTCATGTAATTTACATCTCTGGCAGGAAAGAATGTTCACTTCTTTATATCTTTACTTTTTGACTCTGTGTGTCAAGTTAAGTCAGCAGGTTTTGGCATTGTTTCAAGCATGTCAGCAACAGACTTGTGATTTGAACAGAAAAGAGCTCTGCAGAACAGAACTCCAGAGAGAAATTCAGCGAATTTTTCCACGTATGTTTTCAATTTGATTACTTAATATCAGTTTTAGTGTTCTTCAGGTTTGTGTTCCTGCCTTCTTCTTAAACTAGGATATGTCACATCAGTTTTTATTCTGTGATTCTTGTATTACAGAGAGCAGACTCTTTTTGGTTGGGTCCTCACTGAATGGGTTTGGCACTCGTAGCAGTGATGGTGACTTGTGCCTGGTAGTTAAAGAAGAACCAGTAAGTCATTTAAAGCATATGAAATTAAAACAAAGTCTGTTTTTAAAATTTATGTGGTTTTATAAGGCTGTATTCTAAAATGAGAAACAAGTGGTCAAATCCTTTTGATTTAATAACATATTTTTGCGCTTATAATAGCTATGTACTGTGGTCCCAATAAAGCTTCAAATTTAACTTTGTAAACCATTTAACCCAACAAAATATTCAAAAATAAGGGTTACCTTCATCCCATAAGTGAAAAAAGCACAGCAAAACAGAAAAGTAAACTGCCTAGAATCATGAAGAAAGTTGTTTAGAGAAGTCTAATTCATTTTAGATGCAGGAAACTTTTAATAAATACAACATTTTATTTCATTATTTGGATTCATAGCCACTATTTTTAGTGAGGGACATAAGAAGGAATTTGATATGCAAAATATCTCAAGTATTTTTGGTGAGAGAAAATGTTTATGAATTTAGGTTGGGAGAAAAGACGTAACAAAGAGCATAATTTTGAAAGCATTGAAGCGTCATTGAAAAAGAAGGAAAGGACATTTTTGTGAACGTGGTGCTAGGTTTTCATCCAGTTCTGTGGTTTGTGAATGTCTTATAGTTACTTTCCATATTGAATATGAATTGTTCTGCCTGGCTTTTGCTGCACTAAGTGTAGGCTGTGGAATGTGTTGGTATACATGTTCATGTCTTATTCTGAGAATTAATTTTATTTGAAATGTAAAGCATGCCTGCTTGGAACTTCTAAATGAGAGATACTAACTTTTTTCTGTAATATCATATTTCAGGTAAATCAGAAGACTGAAGCAAGGCATATACTCAGCTTAGTCCATAAACTCTTCAGTACTAAACTTTGTAAGTTCCCAACTACAGTGAGGTGGTAAGATTGTTGGCAATTCTGGAAGAAGTATTGATGCACAGCTGTACCTAATTTATGTAATTACATCTTGTCTAGCTTCTTATCACAGTATTGTTTGGAGAAAAGCTATAAGTACTTAGTAATGTTACTTATCTTGGTGCTGATGGATAGTAGTTAGAAAAATGTAAAGTTTGCCTTGCAAACCTGTGGAGTTCAAGAACAAGTAGCATCTAAAATGACTTTGTGAATTGGCAGGGAAGAAGTTGGTTTCTCTCTGGGAAACCTCTGTTAGTGAACTCTTACTACTCTTTTAGTTTGCAGTGCATTCCAGAGACAATAGTCTAAGAATTTGAGAATTTGTAAAATAAGATGTCACTCACAATAGACTCTGTAGAATTGATTTTTTTTTTAAATTTTTTTTTTCTGGGGGGGAGAGGGGAGCTTGTTACCAGTGAAATAATTAACTTAGGCACCTAGTGAAGACAATATTAAATGTTGACAGTTCCAGCACACATAGGAGAAACAGGTGAATTCACAGTTCTTACAAGTTGTTTAGACTCCCTTCAGATGAAGAATTCACATGGGCAGTTCTTGACTTAAATGTGAAAGCCTCCTACTTCGAAGAGGCTTTTGTACCATCCTGTGAATTGTAAAAGACCCTGTTTGGGGTCTTGATATTGATATCAATGACTGTGTTGCCCTATTTCTCAGACTTGTGATATATTCTTTGCTGCCACTTCTTACATTGCTGTTCTGAACAGTCCTGCAATAGTAAAAGGAACAAACCATACATTTAAATGCAGACTTCAAAATTTCTTCATTGGCAAGGGTGCATACCCAGACTTCAACAGCTCACTTGAAGAGATTCTTGATAGATCTATCACAGAATAGGCATCTGATATTTAATGGCTTATTACTATTGTATATTGATGTTTGCATAAGGAGTCCAGAACCATCCTAGGTTTGCCTAGGATGGAAGTCCTTCCAGTGCTTTCTGAGGAGCACAGTGATAAAATAGTTGTGTTTACAGGGATCAGAAAGGGAGCATCTAAATGAACTATCACCCTCTTTTTTTTTTTTCTTTTCCCCGAGAGGTTGTGTTCTGTGACAGCTTTAGAATAAAACAAGTTTGTTTGTCAGGGAATATGAATATCAGAAAGACGTGATGATCACATGGGAGTGAACCCTGAAGGGTTTTGTTTGTGCCATTGCTCATTTTTGATGCTTTCCTAATTATCTGTTACCTTGTAAGTGCCTTTGGTCAGCTTCATTCAATCAAAATCTTCTTTGGAAGATTAGGCAGGACAAAACACTGCTGATATTACCACTCCTGTCAGACTCTCCTAGTTGTGGTATGTAGACCTCTTAGATGATCACTTATACTACAGTTTAAGTGACTTCATACCTGTCTTCAGAAGTCAGCTGCTGTTTAATCTTCAAGAATGGGATCTACAAATATATACATTTAAAGAAAAAGCCTCCAGAAATTTTAATTCTTTCTAGTCATTACTTCAGCTTGAACCAGAATTCTAGATTTGCAGCTTTTGAAGGGTTAGCAGTGCATATATGCTGCTGCCGTGTACAAGCAAGCTTAAGATTTGTCTATACCAAGCTTCTTAAGAATTGCAATTTCATTCCAACAGTATTCTGTATTCTGTTGCATGTGCTTTTTAACAACCTAAAAGGTATGAACCTTCTTCTGATCACTATTTTCAAGTTTTGTGCTGTCCAGTTAGTACTTGTGGTGCTATCCTATAAGGTAATCCCCTTTGACAATCCTAGCTAAGTATTTCCTTCCTTCTTTCTTCTGTTGAAGAAAGACTGCAGCCTGTTCTCAACAAGCATGTAAGCTGTCATTAAACTTACTCCTTGCTTCATGGAAGAGAATGGAAATAAACATGGTTTGGGCCAAATGTGAAAGCTAACAAAGCATGTGCCAGGATGTAAGAGAAATAAGAAGGGGGAGAAAAGACAAGATGTTATTTAGAACAAAGTTCTTGGGCTGGTTTTGTGAAAGCGTTAAAGGCCAAAAAGAAATAAGGAACTGATTTGTGGTATAGGTAATGTTCTAGAGCTTTTTTAACATTTTCCCAGATAATTTCAGTTGAGAAACTTGGGTGAAGTTTTTTTTCTAGCTGTGCCTTTCCTAACATCTTCCTCTTTATTTTTGCACTCTGTGGTGTTCCTGTACATTCCAAAATAAGGGCTATAAGAAGAGTGTGATTCTCTGCTTATTTCACTTTAATTCCATGATTGCTTGATAAATTAGGAAGCATTCCAAGTGCAATTTGTCTTCCTTTTAGGTAAATAATCTTCAGAATTTTAAGTGCCATCTCTTTTATCCTTTGTATACAGTTAACTGTGATTATCATATTAGCGTTTCATTCTAGGAGATTTGGGAAGTGGATTCAAAATTTATCTAAGCTCCACATTATTTCAGTTTCAGGCTTGCAAAAGGTAACAAGTGTGAGCAAGTAATTTGAACCCATCAGATCTAGATGCAGTCTAAACATTGTGATTCTGCATTTAGAATACTGACTGAAATGAAGATGTGTTCTTTTTTTGAATAGTCTAGTCACAAAGTAGGAAGAAGCTTCTGATATTTATTCACTGTTTTTGTGGCACTTCTTAGTCTTAAAAGCATGTATTGTGTTTCTCCTAGAGGAGGGATGTAAGGATAGTGGTAATACATCTTCTATTTCAAAGACTAGCAGAGTATGTCTAACTTTTCAACTCACTTGTTCAGATACTTGCATATACCTATTTTTCATAATATTGGCTAACTCTCCCAGAACCGTATGCTCAAGCCAATGTCTTTTAGAAATGTGAAACATGAATTTGGGGTGATAACTGTTACAACATATGGAAGAGAGTTATAATCCGAACAACTGAGAATAAACATCAAAGGAATTACTCTCTTCAGATTTTTCTAGGCAGGATTCATTTGAGGAACAATTTAGCAGTAGTGGGTCGACTGGTGTTTACTATCAGAATAAGTAACAAAGAGCTCGTTTTCTCTTAGTTATACGAAGAGGTGCAGTAGTGTTGAGACTAGGATATCAGAGTGGAATCCACCTAACGATTGTCTAGTGGGGAACATCCAACAGCTAGGACAAGCAAGGGAACTTGAACTCTAATGATCTTGAAGGACTATGCAGGTGGGTGAGTGAATTCCAAACATCAACAATAAATTCATCCTGTGCTGGGTTGTACCCTCTTAGATTCTTCATGGCTCTGGATTCAGACTTCTGTGTCACCCAGTTGAATATTACACAGTAGGGTTTTACCAAACCTGTCATCCAAATGCAATAGAGATGACGCTGTTTAATCAAGGTTGCTATCCAAACTGATAGAAATACCTCTTTTTTTTTCTCCCCAAAAAAGTGAAGATCAGCCTTTCCTTAAGGTTATTTTTAGTCTGTATTACTTCTAGATTTGTAATACTTATTTATGCTAATTTGAGGTTAATTTATAGAAGCAATGGGAAAATGTATAATGTTACCTATGAGCAAATTCAAGTGGTCCTTGGTTTTGCAACAGAAGAAATTACTAAAATCATGCTTTGTACCCAAATTCATATCATGTAACCTACAGGTTCTGCTTTTCTTTGTCTCTTCCATTACTTTCTTGGGTGCATGTCTTATTCAGGATTATGGACGACTACTAAAAGTAGCCTGAGATATTGTCAGTAATAGGGAAATCACAGACAATAGGACTGACGCAACAGTTTTGGGTAGCTGAGAGCAAAGGTGCATTTGGTGGCACTGTATGAGTCTGGCAGAGCTTAGTACATTTGGGTTTGGATAGTCTGGCATTGAGCCTGTGTGTCTGCACTGTGTGGATAATCATCTGAGGTTCAGTCCTGTAATTGTGTGTTTATTTTATGTCCTGTCACCACTAAAGTAGAAGGCAAACAAAGCTTATCCACTCTTTGATGGAAAGTGGTGTCCTGTTTTCAGTAACAATTCAATAGGAAATGTATTTCTTGGTATGTACTTATCAGTCAAATAAACAGTTTTTAAAGGAAGCTTTAAGCATGATCAGTGGGAAAATAGTTAATATTTTTTATCAGTAAAATGCATACTTTCAGCTGTAAGCAAACTAGACATGAGTAAATAGTATGCAGCTGATCATGTGTGCGTTACTACAACGTGGTGTTGGGCTTAAGTGTCTGGCCAGCCTGCATGGGTATGTTCTTGCTCCCTTCTTTTTGAACCTTAATTATAACTACTGAGGATTTCTATTATAAGTACTGCTCAGTGAAAGCATTGTAGAACTGCATTCCTTGTGTTCAAATTTCTTGAATATATTTCCCACAGAAAAGTCTTCCACTAATGTTTTTCTCTAATGTTTAGTACATTTTTTTCTACACATTTTCCTGCATTGTATTTTTGCTATGGCTGCTAAAGGTTACTTAGTTTAGCACAACTCTTCTGATAATATTCTTGCTAAACTTAATAAGCTGCTATTTGCTATAAATCAGTCAATATGACTCCACTTTAGGATCTTAAAATAAGATCAGCATCTTACATGAAACCTAATTGCATCTTTTTCCCACTTTCAGCAACCTACATTGAGCGACCTCAGCTGATTCGAGCTAAAGTGCCAATAGTGAAGTTCAGGGATAAAGTGAGGCAAGTATTCTGTTCAACATAATTTTTTAGACTCTAACATGGGAAAATAATCGTATGTAGTGTCCATATGAGTAGTCCCACTGAAGTCATGCTTTGTTTATTTGGATTGTCCTACAGCTGTATTGCAAATTTGTACAGCTAGCATGCAGTCAGCTTAGTTCCTTGATGGTCTGAAACACTTCTTCTGTTTCAGATGCTGTTTAGTTTCTGTGATGTGAATTAGTAGCAATACATCGTGTGTTTCTATGGGTTATCTGTACATAGTGGACTCCAGTTGACAAATGGTTCAAGACAGAGAAACAACAGTGGGACTAAAACTGTTGTGAAAAATAATTTTGCTTGCTGTGCAAACTGTTGAGCTACTTAAGGACTAATTCACGGTGTTTACACTATACAAACAACAGTAAAACAAACTTCAGTTTCTTGTGATGACGTTTTCTTGATTTAAAAAAAAATTCGTTCATTTTAGAAGAGTATATTCTGCTGTCTTCTAGGGAGGTATTCTGTGTTTAACAAAGTAGTATTACATGTTCTATTCACAGTGTTAGGTACTAATTTTATGACCATTTTTTTCAGAAGGAGGAAGTAATTGGAGAGAAGTGGATGTGTTGTATATTATTGTATTAATTGTATCTTCATTATGAAGACATGAAAATGAATAATTGAGGGATGTACTAGGACAGAAAGCAATGTATTTCTTTTTGTGTGTGATAAAAGTATCTGGTGGAGGAAGAAACTGTTCAAAGCACTCAAATTGGTTGGGACTTGAAGTAATGTTCTAATCTTCCTATATTTATGGGCTTAGATTTTGTATGAACTTGTATCACCTTCATGTAATAACATAGCTTGACTATTCTTTGTAAATAGGATTTTGAACAACTCTATTGTATGTAACTATCTTATCCTGCCTGTAAGTCTGTCTTTTAAAACAAACCAGCCCACTTCTCTGGCCTCTTTTTATAGAAGTATATCACAGTGTGCTTTTATTGCAGTATGCGTTTATCACAGGGCAGAAACCCTGCTGTGATAGAACTGGGTCCATCATGTTTACAATTTGAACTGATAAATATCAATTTAAGATTTTTCTTGCATCTGCTATTATATAGTACCTGTTAGGTGTAAATGAAAAAAGTATTAACCTAAAATCCTAACTCCATATTTACTTCTGTATACTTGCCTACCTTTTAAAAATTTGAATAATTTTTATCCAGTAACTTTCTCCTCTACCAGTACAGAAAGTTCTCTCATGCTTTCTCAAAGTATTACACTTACCAGGCTAAAATTTGGGTTAAATGGCTTGCTTACCTATAACAAAACTAGTCTTTTCATAAATACACTAAATGGTAAATTCCTGGAACAAATATTGAATATAACATGGACTTATGGCAAGAATATTTTTTCCAATTTAAAGTCAGAAAATAAACTTCAAAAAGAAATGCTAAGTATAGAAGTCTTTTCGTAGGCATTTGTAGTCCATACTATGGTCACTTGCAAAAAAAAAAAAAAAAATTAGCAGTCATGATATTCATATACCTTACAGACAGGATTTAAAGATTCTTTATTTCCTACTAAATCAAAGTATAATAATCTTAGATTAGAAGCTGCTCATTACATTTTTTCAGAGGAAAAAACAGTACTGTTCACCATCTGGTTTCCTGTATTGTTGTTGTTTTGTGGTTTGTTTTTTTTTTTCTTTTTGGAAGAGGGGAGCACTTTGGGGTTTTGGGGTATTCTTAAATTTTCTTCTCTTTCCAGTTATTTTTTTCTCTTATGTAACCTGTCACCTGCACTCATGTTTTGTCTTTTTATTTAACTATCTGTCTCTTTTCAATATCTTAGCGGCCTCTGTCTTTGATAGGATCATATGTATAAATTCATGCACACTCATTCATTTTTTCAGAGGTCTTGAAAAATGGATTGGATATTCTGTAGTCAGGGCTCTAAACTTGTTTTAGCCAAAACCAGAAATGAAATGTGACAAGCTTCCTGTGAAAGCCAGTTTTCTTGATGCCCTGCTGCTGGGAGAAGATGGTAGAATTCAGTGGGTGGTATCTCTACATCTGGATTCTAATGTGTTGCCAGTGGTCCATATATAGCTGAAAACTGACATTTCCCACTTACTTTGATTTGATGAATGAGAAAGTTTTCAGTTTGTGTTTTTTCTTTTTAATCTTGAAGGATTTTTTAGCTCTATAACAATACGGGAAGATCCATGGCACTTAAAGATTATCTATTTGTTTAACTTTTTTTAGTCTTTCCCAGGAAATACCTCCAATGCTGGGTCTGCTACCAGACAAGCCTTTGATTAATTAACAAGACTTCTGTACTACAGAGGATACAAAAGCTTCCTCTTCAGTTACATTTGATGTGCAGTTGACTCTTTTTCTTCTTTAGTGCTTTTGGTAGAACTTGAGTCCAAACAGTACAAAACCTTTTTCACTTGTCATAATTGCAACATCTATTAAATATGCATGTAAAAATACAACATAACTGCAACAGAACTTGCTTAATCAGCTTTTGGTAAACAGTAATCTTGTCAATTGGGGTTAATTTGAATTACACATGCAGCCTGACGTATTTCTTTATTACATTTGCACATACAATTAATACTGGTGTTTATGCTTATTTTTAAAACTGTCAAGCAGTAGCTCAAGCTTGTTTATTTTCTGTCCTATTATGTACTATACTTTTAAAACATCTAAAAAGTCATGCTTCATACTAATTTAGGTTTAAAATTATCTAGTATTTTTATCAAATAATGTTTTAATGTAGTTAATGATGTCAAAACCCTTTTGTAATGTGTGTTATCCAGTTTAGTGATTCCAGGCCCATGTTCCCCTTACAATAAATCAAGAAAATACAAAGGAATATTCAGGCAAACAAATGCTATGTGAATGAGACTTGGATATATAAAATGGAAATACCTGTACAATACCTGTAAAGCTACTTCTTTGTGAATAATAAGCTCTTATTTTGAGTTACAGTCTTGCTATTGCTTCTTAACTATGAATTAATATTGTTTCGTGAGTACTGTACATAGTTAAGCTTTATATGCAATATGAAATTCAAACTTTGGTGCAAGGTGCAATATAAATAAATAAGGTAGTGCATGTTAGCCTTGTTCCTATTTGCTGTTAACAGCATGAAACAGTTACTAAAACTGTTTTATCACAAAACATGCAGTGTTTACTATTAAACAGTTTACATTTCAAAGTGCTTGCTGATTATCTGTGACCATCATTGCAGAAAAGAGATTCTTACCTTTTGACCTCTTCCAATTCTCCTTCTCAGTTCATTGGCATGATTTCCTAAACTGATACCTCAGAGGATCCTTCCTGGCATCAGGACTTGTCCATAATAAATCATGTAGTGCAAGTCTAGTTAGGAGAAAGATTTATTAAAAATCCAAAACATATTTAATACATTAAGTTGTCCTATGGTCTAAACTTGGATCTACATGTATTCTTTAAGTAAAACAACAATTACATTTTTATAACAATGGAATTGAAGTTTATAAGCAATTTAAGTACTATAAGCAAAACTAGAGTAGAAATCACAGCATCAAAACTCTTGTTTCAAGAAAGTTTCTAGAGTATTATCTTAAAGTTACATTTCTCTACTTCTGTCACTAAGTAGGTAATAAATATTCTGAAAATTAATACCATGATGCTTGATTCGTTTTCTTTTCTTCTCCCCAATAGCTGTGTGGAGTTTGACTTGAATGTAAACAATGTTGTAGGAATAAGAAATACATTCCTTCTGAGAACCTATGCATACAGTAAGTTTTTAATGTATTTTCTTATTTCTATAAACCTTGGCATTTTAAATTTGTATTTTGGTATTGATAGACTATTAAAATTCAGTTGAATATATTAGGTTACTATATATAATTACCCAGTGAGCTGCATTACATAGCTTTAAGATAACTCATTGTTGCTTGCTCTAGATATGTGGAGAAAACTGATGTATCAGCTAGATATGTTTTTAATTTAATCAGAAAATAAAAAAGATCCTTCTTAAGGTCCACATATCTGCTACAAGGGCTGCTTCAGTATTCTGCAGAAAACAAAATCTTTATACTAATGATTATCTAGTGGTATAATCTCCAGTTTCTATATTTCCTTACAGCCGCTGATAGATAGCTGTGTCTGTATGCTGGTACAGAGTTTTTTTTCTTGGAAAATTCAAAATACTGCTTCAGTTTTTATACTAACCCCCAAACAAAACTCATTTATATCTCTTCAGTAGTTTGCATTTTAGGGAGACTTTGTGAAACAGACTTCTGAAGGGAAAGTAGCAAGAACAGGACTCTTTAGTACTAAACTAAATTTTTCTTACTTAGCATCACTATGTCATTTGGCAAATAAATACATAAGGAGTGGACCTCTAGTTCTTCCTTTACCACCTTCTTCAGTTTTTGCATACAGGAATTCCTTTTTAGGGTAGGAAGTTATCAGTAGAAGTTACCTTTACTAGTTAATTTTTACTAATATTTCAGTCAGAGCAGTTTCAGTGTTCCATATTCACACTACTAGGAGAGTCTACGACTTGTCCTGGATCAGCTGATTAACTGTAATTTCTTCAAACATCCAGGAAGGCATACACCTGAAGAAGGCTTTCCTTCCAAGCTTGAAAAGGCTAGGGAAGTAATCTTTGTCATTCACAGCTTCAGGTGAGGAGTCACTTCACTGAGTCTGATGTTGATATAGTTGTTCCTAACTTCTGCCACAGGTTTCCCTTGTGTCAGCAAGTCACTGTAGACAGTGACAGGCAGACAAGAGTGCAGATGTGAAAAGAGCAGTGGGAAGGGGTCCTAGTGTCCAACCTTTTCTTCTGTTGTGCCTTGGTGCCCGCTTTTATAAGGCTAGCAAAATTAACTTTATGTCTCCTGATGAATAAATACTGTTGTTTTCTTGAGGTCAAGGAGTGAGTTAGTAGCTAAGGGAGACTTGTGATTGAAAAGATTATTTCCTTAATGTGCTAGACCTTCTTAAATAGGCAAACTATATCAAGCATAGTCTGCCTTGTCTTCTCTGGACCAGAAAAGTCTCAGGTGACATAAGGCAAACAAAAGTTAATGGAGACTGTTACCAGACAGTGTCTGTACATACTTTTAGAAGTCACATCAACCGGAGTGTATAGCATTAAGAGTATTAGCCTGCTTACTTAAATTTGTGGCTGAAGGGCTTCACCTTGCATAAGAGGAAAAAAAGATCAAATTATCTCTCAGCGTGGAAGATGTATGGGTCTCTTTGTTCCATTAGAACAAATTAGAAGCTCAGGCAAATGACAGACTGGTTATCTTGGTGAGCATGATAAAAAAATACTCAAATATTTCTGTGGTTGCTCTTGTGTCTTTTTCGAAATCAGCCCTTCTGTGTTGGTGCTTAGGTGCTGTAGAAAACATCAAAGACAATGTGGCAAGAATGTCCACAACAAATATAGGTAGATTAAGCAGAGCTAGAAACTGAAGTCTATGCTGTTATGTTATCAGTTGTTTGCCTAAGGAGGCATGTCTGTAATTAAATCAGCAATTGATGGTAGGTGTTTTTCAATTAGTGGAAGCTGGACCTTTGAGCCAATGACATTACTGAACGTTTTCTTGAGGGGGTAGCTTGTTGACTAATGAAAGAATATCAGAAAAGTTTACTGGCCATGTTGCACACTAAGTTTGTTTTATACTAATTACAGGCCCTAGCAGACTGAAAATCTTATCTCAGAAAAAGGTCAACTAGGAAGAGACCTTTTCTACTGTGACGCACACAAAAGAGTCCCATTTAGAATTAGAGCCTATTAGGTTTTTTCCATGAGAGAAAAATGCAATTTCAGTTAATGCGTGTTCATATGATGTCTGTTCAGTAATTCTTCTGCATCTTGCAGTTAATAGCCATTTTTTTTTTTAGTTCAACCACTGGTGAATAATGTTAGGAATGAGGTGACTGGTGGTAAGGAGTCTGGTTCTTTCTGAGAGGTCTTCAGGTCTAGGACATTCATGTTGAGGAGAAAGAGTACCTCTTACAGGGGCATGCACACTGAACCACTGTGAACAGGTTGTGAGAAAATCACATGCTTGATAGGATTCTCAGAATAACAGAGAGTACCCCAAGTGGTGCTCTTGTAGGCTTGTTGTTGTCATGTATGAAGCATTTACTTCTATATTCCTGTCCCGACGTGCAGAATAGAAAACTTTGCACAATCTTGTCACGTTAGAAAAAGATACTCCAGAACATGTACGGCATTGTAAGGCCATCATAAGGCACCTGACTGAGCCAATGATCTGCTTCTATATGTCTGCAAATACTAAATAACACTGCAAATACTAAATAACGCTGCAAAGTCCCTGGGAGGTGGTGGTGAGTGACCTCTCACTACAGCACATTGCTGCCTTAATTAGAAGGCTGTCTATATTCCCAGAAATTCAGAAGATCATACCTGGAATATGACTGTATTTATGTCTTTCCTTACAAAAAGCATGTGTCTTGATTTAATGAGTTATTGTATCTAACACCTCACCTACATAAAAAGCTATTGAGGACAAGGCAAATTTAAAAGTAATGTTTGTATGCAGGGGTTTCTGCTTTCATGGATCTTGAGGAGAACTTAAGAATGAGGTCCGTGTCTTCCAACCAGGAGAATTCTTCTTCCTGCTCTCAAAGTTTATATACCCTAAGTAAAGATTAAAAAACCAAAATAAATTAGATGTGGTCTGTCCTGGCAGCAAGCTAATTTAGGGACAATTAGTACAAAAACTGGAGAGAACTTAAAAAGTAGAATGTGACATTGCTATACTGACTGAGGCATCCAGTTTTGTCTTATCTGCAAGTTACCTGGCATACCCCTTGTAATGTGTCTGTGGATCTTACTACTCAAAAGATTATTTTCAAATGTAAATTTTTTTCTGATTTTTATAAGATGGATAGTAGTTGTAGAAAAATTAAGTGAATTCTATAAAATAGTTGCAAAAGGTAACCTTAGAATACAAGAGTATCATGTTGACGACATTCAAATGTTGGTTGATTACTGTCTAGTTAAATGTGCTTTTTTTTTTTTGAGATATATTTATTTTACTTGCAGTTGAGAATCGAGTTCGTCCACTAGTACTTGTTGTTAAGAAATGGGCAAGTTTTCACGACATAAATGATGCCAGTCGTGGTACTTTAAGCAGCTATAGTCTTGTATTGATGGTTTTGCACTATTTACAGAGTAAGTATTTTTTGTCTGTTGAAACTGTCTCTTCTAAGTCCATACTTGTGTAGTTTTACTCTTTAATGAAATTAAACACTAGCAGGGGTCTTCTACACAGAAAAATCAGGAAAAAAAAGTGGATTTACTCCATTTCATTAGGGCTGCATTTTTCTTTAACAAGTGGACCTCTTCTCTGGAGACAGTTACCAGCTTTAAAAAGGTAAAAAATAAAAATCAATGTACCTGCAGGACACTGTATAACTATAAAATAAACTCAAGCGCTAGTTAACAGAAATATGCCCATTAACAAAGGGAAAAACCTAAACATAACAATTTCAGTGGGTTTTGGGTTGGGTTTTTTTGGTTTGGGTTTTTATTATTATTTATTTGGAAACCCCTAAGAATATTCAAAGGGACAGCAAATGCTGTGGGGTCATTTTTCTGTATTCTAGTGAGTGAAGGACTGAACATGGGGGACATGTACATGCAAGAATACACTACCATGTGGTTAGATTTTTCCACTGATTACTGTCTCCTGTGAGGTGACAGATGTCGAACACCATTAGAAGTTGGGATATCTGACTGCCAGTGGCAGCGTCTTTTCGTGTGACTTCAATATATTGAAACATTGAACATCCGCATGGAGCTGGAGAGCTTTACCTGAAAAACTAAGGATCCCTGTTGAGAATTCAAGAAACCCATGCAGTCCAGAAGTATTTTCAAGGAATACATTGAAATGAGGCTATCCCCTCTATTTCTTTCTCTCATTAGAAGTCTGTGTCTGTGATTTTTGTAGTATGCATTCTTGCTTAAGACTTAAGGCTTATCATTTAAGAAATCATTTAGCTCAGTATGAGTCTCTTGGTTCTTATTGGCAGATAAGTGGCTTCAGAAAGGAAGGCAAGGAACCCCTGAAGTGTCCATGCCTGTAGAAGTATTTAATTCGTATCAGTTCATGTATAGACTGTGTATTTTGCTGCTTGTATTCATTCTATACTTTTAATTTTTTTTGTAATGTGCTGATTATTCTTGTTCGTGTTATTTTAATGACAGCTGGTTCTTAACATTTTATGAATGTATCTGTGGACAAATTGCATAGGCTCTCATTTTAGACTTTTCCCCTTTGTCAGTTTGTGTAGGTTTTAATTTATTATTTTTTTTAAATCAAGTAGAAACAATGTTTAGCTCCTCTGACAGCTTGTTTGGCCTGGAACGTAGATACTTGCTGTAGAATGGGTAGCCAACTACTTATTAGTTTCAAAATCACCCTATATCCACTCTGTACTAGGGTGGAAAGCTTTTTATGATACTTGATTCAAGCTGGTGGCTTTCTTTCAGCTGAACAGTATCTGTAGTAGAGGACCTACGAAGGCGTTTTGTGTATTTGTGATCCATTTGGCTGGGTTAATTCTGAATTGTTTGATGCCCATACTGTGTGCTTGTTGTTAATGTACCAGTCATGAGGACAGTATGATATAAACTGGTCTATGCAGTGACTATGTTTGGTTTTTTCTCTATACCTAACATGGTGGAATTCCATAGATTTCTTCTGTGTCTGTAGAAAGAAAAGAAAATGTGGCCAAGTCTGTCACAGCGCTCTCTGCCATGCTGTAGGTGACTGAGTACTTCAATGTAGATCCTTAATACACACCAGGAAAAAAAAAAGCAAGCAAAAAATGTTGATTTGGAGGAGATGAAATGACAATGAACTTAAAAATGCCAAAATGATTATTAGATACAATATTGAAAATGTTGGGAACTACAGGGTGTATAAAGATTGCTATGCAAAGGTGAAGTACAAGTAGGAGACGAGAAGTAGTATCTTTACATTGTCTAGCAATTAGTGACAATCTTAACAGTGACTTGATAAGCATTTGATAAGTTAGTGTTACACTTTTAATGGAAACAGGACTTTTTCACTTGGAAATTTATTCTCCAAATCTATTTTCATTGTATCACAGTTACTCTAGAGACTTGTATTGGGTGCTGCGTGCAGTCATGGATAGCCAATTACTGAGCTGTGTATGAAAGTAATGCACAAAAGGGAAGAGAGTAGGAGTTACAAGGAAGTATAAATGTGTAGGTTTGCCAAAAGGTTGATGACCTTGCAAACATGAGGGCATTTGTTGTAGTCATCTGTAGCACCTGCCACAGCTATCTAGAGAAGAGGAAAAAAGGTTCAAATAATCCTTTTCATGCAAAACTGTGATCAGTTAGCTGCCTGGGAAGGATCAGGAGTCCTCAGGCCAAAGAAGAGCCTTTTACCTGTGCTTCATCAGCCTTTTCTGCCAAAAAAAGGCTGAAGTGTAGTCTGGCTCTGGAAATGCATGTAGCACCGGCTATCTAGATTCTGATGTTTTATTCATGCAGTTTTTAACCTTCTCTCGCCACTTCTGTTACAGGCATGGAAAGCTACTGAAAGTAGCTTGTGTCCTAGTCATAGAATTTCTAACATGCTTTTGTTGATGTTACTGGGGAGGGAAACAAATAAAAAAAAGCTTCCCTTTGCAGTAAATAGTGTCCCTGACTTCATTATGCAAATTTCTTTGCTTTACTACTTAATCCATTTCCGTATTCTTATACTTGTGTGGATGTCTTTAGACCTAAGGTTAATGTGGCTTGAGTTTATTTTATAGATACATGAGTGTCTTGTACATGAACTTTCCTCCAGGTAACAGGTCCAACTATCTTGTACAGTAAGAAAAGGAAAAATCATGTGGCCAGTGGTAAGTGGTAACTCCACTAACTCCATCCTCTTAGTATAGCATACAGACGCAGATTAAATATCTTGATTGCTTGTATTGCTCAGATTTTGTTGCCTTTTATTTTAGCATGGCAGAGAACTGGAATTTTTCCAAGATGTTGCAGAAATAAGATGCTCTTGCATATTTCTAAACACCCACAAACAAAATAAAAATATTATTAAAGCAGCTGTGATCATATTCTTAGCAGTCCTGCCAGTTAATATAGTAGAGTGTTTGAAGATATCCCAAGCATGTTCTTAGAATTCTGCTGTTCTCATTCTTAGTCCCTATGGAAAACGGATTCTGTAACATCTGATCCCCTGTAAGACCTTGTCTGAAGGGTGAATTCAGTCCCAAGTCCTGTGTGCTGAACTTAATTATCACTCTCCCTAGTGAATGATGTAGACCAATTGTTTACAAAAAAAATTTAAAAATGCTGGAGATGTGATGTTGAAGCTTTAGTATGAGCAGTGCTGTAACAGTACTGCCCTAAGGCTTGAGTGGCATGTGACTGCTCGGGGATTTTTTCTCCTATCTGTAGGACCACCTAACCTGGGAGATAAGGTTCTTCCCTGTTACTTGTATTGTGCAATAGATGGTCTCCCCATCTGTGACTTTTGTAAAAGTAACAATTGTTTAGTTCACTTTGTGTTTGTTAGTATCATTGTCTGCATAATCTTTATAACCTGTTTGCTGTTTAGTAGACCAGCTAACTGAATTAGACTGTATTTAAGTATTTTATGGGGATTTTGGTAGTAACGCCTATTGAATGTGTTGGCCATTTTATCTTTAGGTTGCTTTTGAAGACTCTGTATGTAATATTTGCAGCTGAAGAACGTGTGCTTTTGCAGTATCTGGAGACTTCCACTGCTGTGATAGAATCATGTTGGTTTAGATGTAGGAAAAAAATGAGTGAAACTCTGATTTTTCCTTTAGGCAATCTGAATGAGTTTCTTATAGCCATGAATTAACATGAATTTTAAAAGTGAAGTCAATCCCAGCTGCTGTAGAATTTTTCATGTCTTCTACAAATAGTAGTATCTTAGTAGCAGCTTCCCTTAGCTGAATTAACTTCTTATACTACTGTATACCAAATATAGTAATAGAAAGATTTGCTGAATAACTTTTATTTTACAAAATTATTTTCTTGATAGATGTTTTTAAGATGGAATTTCAGTCCAGCCCTTTGGTGTAGTTGATATGATGTTGTTTCCTGTGAATTACATGAATCACAGCAACTTTAAACTTTTTTTTTATAGCCCTACCTGATCCCATCCTTCCATCCCTCCAAAAAATTTACCCAGTAAGTGTTTTTTATGAATTTATTAATCATATATATGTATGAAGCTGCTTATCTGAAATATATGAATTCTTAAATGTCTCTGGATTAAGTTAAACTCAGTCTGTAAGCCTGGTCATTGATACACTAAACAAAAGCGGGAAACAGGTTATTTGCTGCTTTTGATCATTTCTTTAGTGAAAACATTGTTATATATGAGAAGATTTCACACACAGTTGGAAACAAGTGCTAATGAGAGCTGCTGACCTAATTCTCTTTATGCTGGCTTGAAAATAAGCCAGTGTCATATGTAACTTTCTGATTCTCATTCCTTAGTATGTTAAGTAGTGGGGTTTGCATCCAACTGTGATGTTTTGGAATTCCATACCTTCCCACAGCTGTTGAGTTGCTTGATATTTCTGGGTGCGAGAATGAATGATACATGTTTACAGAGGAGACTTTGGAGACCTCACAAAACTGGGCTTCAGTCCAACAAGAAAACACTTTTTTGGGGAATTTATGTCCAGATCATACTCTATGGATTTCCAGAGAACTCTGAGAATTGGTATGCTTTGATCCTCTGCAGAGTTAGGACTGTAATTAGTGAGACTTAATCTAAGGAAGATTACCTAGAAATAAGAGCTACCCTCCTAAATACTTGTCTGGGGACAAAAGAGCTATTGCTGAATAGTTCTATTGTATAACTTATTTAGAGAAATTCCTGAATTCCTTCCTCCTTACCTTTCTTCTCACATGTCCCTTTAAAAATGTTTCTTTATTGATAGTTGGTGCCCCTGTCTGTATGGGTTTTTTTGGTATGTTGCTAATAATTGTGCTGAGGTAGTATCAGAAAACCATCTTTCTTTTGCATATATTTCCTGCAGTGCTGAAATGGGAATATTAGATGACACTGTACATCAGGGAAAAAATACTATGGTGTCAGCCATTTTGGGTAATTAGGATGATCGAGATGCAGAAGAAAGCTTTGAGCTATAGTACACTGCAGTTTTATTTCCATTTTGTAAACCTGCTTAGGCATACCTGTACTAAATTTTTATGGTCTTTATTTTTTCTTCTGATTTTTTTTACTGTACTATATACCTTCTAATTTCTTCATTGCTAGTGCTTGAAAGCATTTGAAGCTGTTTTTCATTTGTACACTTAGCTTTTTCTGATGGATTTTTTGAATTTGCTAATCACATTTGCTTAAAGCTCACATGCTGTAGTATTTTAAGTTTTGTGTAGCATGTAATTTAAAGAAAACAACTGTAAGAATTGGTAACTTTTTACTCCTTTGTAATGATAATGCAAACATTTATATTTGTAGTGTTTGAACTATGTAAAGACCTTCAGAGCACTATACAAATATTAATGGCTTAAATGATTAAAGCAAAAGTATACAATGCCATAAGCTGAAAAATCTAATGAATTTGTACTAAATGCAAGGTTTTATCTTGGGTCATGTGAAAGTGGTAAATCACTTGCAGGTTCCTATGTTTCTAGAACAATGCTGTAAGAATAACTTTTTTTACCCTCTTTCAACATAGATTTTTGTTGTTAGTTATCTTGCCTTTGGAGGAGGCACTAAATATTCTAGGATTGCTAATAAAATAAAAATATATTTTTATACATGCTTACATAAAATCATAAAAACTATGGATTAAGATTTTAAAAAATATGCTAGAAATTTGCAAATATATTTTTGGACTATTGTCTTCATTAGGAATATAATTAAGTGTTTAAAAATTGTGAAGGCTATTTCTGAATACTGATATTTCAAAGAAATTTAAAATGAAAATGAGAAATAGACCAAAACAATTATGGTCTTGTAGCTTGCAGTAATAATTACAAAGCACGGGCAAATGTCAGTATCCAAAGCAACTATACATTTTTCTTGTGGTTGTAGCTGGTCAAAGCTGTGTCTCCATCCTCATACTACACATTAATACTGCTTCTCCCCTTCTGAAACAAACCACCCTACCTACAATCTGGGTTTTTTTTCAAAATCAAATCTGCAGCTCTCTCTGCAGCCTAAAAATACTTCTGCACTTTGAAGGAAACTGCTGGTTTTAAATGGTAGGTGCCATGCAAGAGAAACATCTTGAGCGAGGAAGAAAAGGCAGATTCTGTGCCTTAGTGTATCCCTACTGCAGATGTGAAGTGTGAGAAGTCCTGGAAAGCCATCAGATCTGCCTGCCTGTGCATTCTTTTGCCTTGGGGGAGTCTCCAGCAGGCACCGAGCCGATGTGTTTTGCAACTGCTAGTTTAGAGGGAGTATTGAACCATATCAGGTGCAGGGTTGGATTCCGGGGCTTCCTTTGTTGCAGCCAAATGGGGTAGATGAGAGTAGCCCACAAAATGTGTTGGTCAGTTCTGAAGTCTGTATGGAACTTGCCTCCAAGTCAGGACTTTTGCAGATGAGCTCTGGAGAACCTGTGGTGGCTTAGGCCGTTATGGCTTCTGGTTGTTTTGCCTGTGTGTTTGCCAGAGGTGAGCATTGCTGCAACTGGGAGTCAGAAGGCAACGTGTTCCAGAGCAGCCTGGTGTATCACCTGAAATCCAGATGGAGGTGGGTCTCTATTAGTGCTCTGGATCGTGAACTTTATGGACTCTAGCATGAGCACATTTTTGTTTCTGCTTTCTCAGCTTCACAAGTAGTCATGTCTTGCAAAAGGTGGGTCAGAAGATGGGATGGGATGGTGATTACTGTAGCTCCTTCATGCATAGGAGTCAGTCCTTGCACAGACACAATTTGCTTTGCTCTTCAAGTTGCACTTTTTAAAAGTATAAACACGAGTTAAAAATTAATTACTAAGACTAGAGAAGGCTATTTTATGTGTGCGAATATAGATACTTATCAAAAATGGCAAGATACAGTGGTAATGTCAGCATAGTAAACTTTTTTGAAGGAAGAATCTTATACAGTCAGAGTTAAACTCATTATACATCAAGATACTCAAATGTAAAGATATTTTTGATGTACGCTTGTTTTCCAGTGTGCAAGGTGGAATGAGAATATGTGTAAGCATTATATAGCTTGAACATAAAGCATGTTGCTGAATGCTAGTGTTTCCTTGAGAAATCAGTCAACCAATTTCTGGGGTGTTTTGAATTAATGTATAGCTCAATCAGATCCTGAATTTCTTTTCATTTCTTAAGATGGCACGAGGCAAAGACACAAGAAGCAAATTAGGGACTAGTTTTAAATAAAGATGAATTTTTTGCCTTCTAGAGCAAGTTAAGAAGGGAAAGCTTACAGGGAAGGCCTAAGTGAAACTAAGCTAGTATGAAGGGTGCTTTGTAATTCTCTATTACTACCAGCCTCCATTATGTGCAGAGTCTATAAGCTGTACCTTGTTCTGTTCATCTAGTTATTCCCCAGTTCCCTCTGGCAGGAAGAAAAGTCCTGTTATCCCTGTTTTACAATAGGTGAATGGGGGCGGGTTGAGGCTAATGGATTTTCATGGCTTGTCTGTGGCAAAGCAAAAAGATGAGCCTAGGTATCCTGTAGCTGGTCCGAGCTCTTGTTCACTGGACTGTGAGTGATTGCTTTTAGAAATGACCTTAAACAAACTACATTGTTGGTTATTGACATATTGATATATCTTGACAGAAGATTTAATAAATCTTCGTCATACCCAATTTTAAGTAATAATTAATTTGGTTTTACATGTAAAACTTTCTAACGTGGTAATAGCAATTTCTTCCATAACAAATTTTCTGTATTTCAGAAAGATGAAACACTTTTTTTTTTCCTTCTACATGTGGTGGTCAGCAACTCAGTGTTTATAAAAATACGTTGACTAACAATATCAGAAATATATGATTAACAGTTTGCTTTAGTGAGTGTAAAAAAATATTTTCTTCCAGAAAAGTAGTTTCAGTCATGCTTTTCATTTTGTAATACTTAGTTGTCTTTTTAAGAGTCATTTTCATAGTGGTATAACCACTAAAACAAGTGGAGATGGGAATTACTTATACGTGTTTCTCTTATACTAGGTGGTTGGGTTTTTAAATTATTAGCTGCTATAGACTGTAACTTGCGTTTGTACTAGAGCACTTGTATAGAATAATATGCATTTATTTTTTGAGGGCAAATGGCTTTCTGATTAAAGAAAACTTTGATTTGCCTGACCTTTGTCATATACATGGTAAAACTTGGAACTGCAGGCTTCACAAAATTGAACTTGCTTTTGGAAAAAAATAAACATCTTCAATTCTGCAATCTAAAATTATGTTTTAATTCCTAGATGAAGATTTAGAAAATTGCTTTCTAATGCAGGTCAGGAATTTTATCTCTTGTGCCATGGGTAGGAGTCATAGAATGTGATATATCTGCTCCTCAAATTAGGAGTGTTTTATCACTGCTGCTTACATAACTTTTGATCAGTTGCAAACTCTGTAAAGAAACAGACAAACTAAATATCCTGAAAAATGCCTTCATCTGCACTATGCTTCTGCAGTAATCACTCTTCTCAAAATACAGATTTCTGATTTTAAAACTCTGCAAGGTTTTGTAACTTCCTATTTCATTAACTGCTAAACAAATCTTACTGGCAAAAATATATTTGGATAAAGTTATATTTTATATCCTTTTTGTTCTTTTGCTTTTTTCTGGATGTAAGCATGCACACACAGCCACATATGTATTCTCTTTTTTTGCTGTAAGTTTTATTACAGCTATATTTGATATATTGTCTTTTGCTACTAGTATAACTGTTGATTTATTTTATCTTACTCAAATGATGTACAAACACTAATAAAATTAATTAATTGTGATCAATATATAAAGCATAAATAAAATGTACTTAAGGTCAAGATTGATAAGAAAAAAGCAACATTCTTCCTAAGCTTGTAATAGTGTTAACAAAAATAGCTTATTTATTATCGTGACAAATAATATCCCAAAGTATCTAAATTTTTAGCTGGTCAGTATGCCAACCTCACTGTCATGGCAGATTTTTCCTGCAGTTGAGAAGTTCTCAGGCATTTCAACATTCAAAAAATTAAAAAAAAAATCACTTTCCTTTTCAGAAATGTCTGCTGCCTCCATACATTTATTGATTAGTCTTAGTAGATACCTGATGTAGTAGTTTCATTGCACTTCTGTTTTGTATTGTTTGGATGTCAGCAGCCCTTGTTCTCATTCTTTTTTTCCTCCCTATGTCCATTTCCTCATGAGCTGTTATACTGCTAATACTAAAGTCATTTGTTGTGACTCTTCTACAACTTTCTGTGGGAATGGGCAAGGAGTGACTTTCACTCTAGTACCTGTCTCATTACCTTTGGGGTTAAAACTGCATATACCGTATAACACAGGAACAACTGTTTCCATTTTAGATCTTCATATGCTGCATATCTGCTTTTTATGTCTGTCTGTCTCCATGTTTTTGTTTGTGTTCTGTTGCATTGTAAACTGTTAAATTCTGAGCTCTGCTAACTATAATAATTTTTTATACGGAAAGTTGTATCATGTGAGAACAAGACATGAATTTTTTTTGTAGCTGGAAGAATGGCCTTTTTTCCCAGAAGGTGTCGCACAAGGTTCCAGGAGGTTTTGCTAGAATTGGCAAAAGAGGATGAGAGCCCTAAACTTTCTAGTCCTACTGGTTTGATTGCTAACCATACTTTTCTTAGAGGAAGCACTGCCAGCTGTGAATGTGGAAATAGTATTACAGCGTATAGTGCTTCCAGTGATATTCTAGTACTATAAAGTTTGAGTCATGCCTGATACTACTCTTTAAAATAACAAAGGAGTGGGAGGGGAGATGCAGTAGTGAATGAGTAGGTTCCTAAATTTACACAGATGTATTTCTTTATGTGAATCTTGGGTTCATTTTCTACTACATACACAACACAGCTGTAAAATGTAATATCCTGGTATTACTAGGTTTTGAAAATTGTTTCTTTAGCAAGAGAAGATGTGTTGTCCTCCATGTACCCCAGTCTCTCAGAAGAACCTAAAGGATGCAATGGACATCCAAACAGTATAGCAGATCTAAAACCATGTTAATTTAGTCTCATGTAGATTCCTTTTTAAGCTGGCAGTAGTGAATTTTGTTTATAGCAAACCCGACCTTTTATTCCCCCTTCTTCCCTGCTCGACCCCCCCATTCTCTTCCCCCCCTCTGCCCCTGAAGAAAAGTACACTTCAGCTTAAATGCTGCATTCTGTGTATTCAGGTTTTTTGTATAACTTCTTCTTTTTTCTTTTTTTTTTATTCTTTCAGATAGGTTGGCTAGAGGAGGTGCTGCTGCAGTCTTTGAACTCATTATGTGGGAGGATGCAGGTTCATATTAGAGCCAGTGGGTTTCATATGCAATTTTAACTCTGTGCAGTGGGGAAAAATAAGTCAGGCCTTCCTTTTGGATTGCTTTTGTACCACAGTTATGGGAACTTGGCGATAAGTGCATTAGCTTCACCAACCCTGTTTCAGTTCAGCTGCAGCCAGCTCAGTGCAGGCTACCTTACTCAGCTTCTGCTCACGTGGTTTTACTAGCACATAAGTGCAAGTCCAGTTCCGAGATTATCCCGTGTTAAAATACTTTTAACAGTATTTAACTATTTAACAAACAGAAGGCAAGGGATGGTCTCGGATGCGCCGGTACAAGATGATTCTACCTGAAATCAGGGGGAGTAACTAGTGCCCGACAGAGAAGCACAAGAGAAATAGTCCTTTGCTTCTAAGTTGTCCTTGAACTTCTAATAAGCAAATGATAGGCAGCTTTTCTGTTGTGAAAAATATATGCACCTAGATTTAAAGCTCTGTGTGTGTATGTATATACATACTCTCTGGTTTTATTTTGACAGGAATCTTTTGATCCTACTATGCAGTTGCATCTCGTTCATCAAGCACCACGTACCATTCCTCGTTACCTCTCAAAAAATGGATCAAGCCTTGGAGATTTGCTAATAGGCTTCTTCAAATATTATGCCACAGAATTTGAGTAAGTAATAAGCTCATCTTAGTGTTTTAGAATATGCAAAGCTTTTTGATACTTTCTATTCAATACATCAACATTTTATAACCCTTGAAGAGAAAGAATAACAGTAAGGCAGAAGTGGTAACTGACAGGAAATGGGTGAAAAGACAAAAGGACAACAGGAATGCTGATAGAGTGTCTGACATCTTTTGCTTAGCCAAGCATTCTATCCTTTAAAATAGCTGCAAGAAGTTAGAGAGCTTTATCCTTTTAAAAATAGCTGGGGTTTGTTATGTTATACTGTTCTAAAACTGCCTATTCATGTGTGAGAATAATCTATTCTTAGTTGTAGTTCAAGGTATTGGTTATGATATGAATTATTTGGCCCTTAATAGCTGTGCTTGTCTTCTGTCACCCTGAGTCAATGGAAGGAACTGACCAAATGGCTCCTTACTTTGACTGTAATATACATCAATATAGGACACACCTGCTGAAGAATTCTGTAATACATAGTTGGTTCAGTAACCTTGTTGGTTTGCTAGAATCTGAGTTTGATTTTGGTGTCTGGATTTTCTTGTAGAAGAGAAGAAGCTGAAGTTGTGAGAGCATCTGAGAAAGCTGTAGATTACAAACATTTTGCCAAATTGTCACTTGATAATTTCTTAGAAAAAGTGCTTGTCTATATAAAATATCAAATGGTTGTAATCCAATAATCTTAAAGATCTTCTAAAGAATTTTTTTTCTGAGGCAGTTGGTTCATACCTGTTGCTGTCCTGTGTATGTGCATCATATCCATTTCCTGGAAGGAGAAAAAAATGCATAACTGCTGGATACTCATCATAATTTGTGAAGTGTTCATGTTTTACTTCAATGTAAGAAGTGAACAATCATGAAATCCTTAGAAGAAAACATCACTAGGGTGTGCACCACATGTGGAATATATAAGCTAAATCCATATGGCTTGTGGCAGTTCACGACTGAATTGCACTTTGTGCATGCTTAAGCCTGATTTTTCACATTAAAGGATTTTCCTTCAACAATCTCTGCAGATAAAGGAATGGTCTTTTGTCCTAAAAGTTTCTCCTAAGTAACTGTCTTTTCAGCTGGCAAGGTGCTCTTTGTTAAAGAGGTAAATTAGAAGACACTGCTGGAGGAGATACCTCACGTTCCAAATTTGTGTGGGACGCTAGATGCATCCTTTACTACTTGTATGTATAATGAGCTGTTAATCTTCTCGTACATGAAAGTAAATGCCTTTTCCACTAAGGAAGAAGTTTCTGGTTTGCCTGTGCAAACTAGCGGAGGAAATCTTGTCCAAATGCAGGAAGAATAACTAATTTGACTTCTCTGCTTTGGGTCCTTGTGAACATAGTCCAGAGCAGATTTCTGCATAAGTCAGTAGCTGGTCCAGAAAGACTCTTTTTTTTCCCCTGCTGTTAGACATGCAGGATATACTAAGAAATATGAAGACTAGCAATGCTGCAATATCAGTACTTGAACTGATGGTAATCCTGGAATATTGTTTTTCATGATTATCATAAATGAGGAAAAAATGTTACCTAAATTTAATCGCAGAAGTACAGGGGAGCTTCTGGTTAAAACAAAGCCTGAAAAAGTGGACAATGAAGATAGGATAGTTGCCGACAAGGGAAGAAAATATTTTTAAAAAACAGCCAACCAAACAAAAAAAGAATATCTGGCTTATTTTTTCCAGTGTTATGGACCTGTTAAGTATTTAAATATTTGACTGGTGATATTCTCTTTAAAAAAAGATAAAAACAAAACCCAAACACAACCAAGAAAACCCAAACCCCCCCCCCCCCTCCCCCCCCCCAAAAAACCCAGCCTGTGAAAAACAGCCATTCCAATTCCTGTATTGAAAATGTTACATAGCTGAGAAATCAGGAAATGATACACCTAATGCACAACCTATATTATTTTTAACTTTCTGCTACAAAAAGATAACTTACATGTGTACTGTTTACTTGACCATCTATGTATCCCTGACAACTATAAATCTTGTTTGAAAGGAGCAGGGTGTGTGTCTTGAAGATACTAAAATTCTCTATAGTTTCATAAACACTGGTAATTGGCTGGAGAAGAGAAACCCTAATTAAGGTCTATGCTGGGGAAAAGGTGGGCAGAACATAGTATTTAAACACAGGGGTGTGTGTGAGATAGGCACCCGATGAGAACAAGTACAGTGTCACACTGTCCACAGTTACCTGTTATCTTTGCTTTGAGGTTGCCGATGGAAACAGTGTTCTAGGTGGGAATGAGGATAAGAGTTAAATAACACAGGGCTGTGTTAGTGCTCCTTTTCATGGAAGAACTAGTATTTTACTCCTGAATGCTTTGAATATTTTCATTGCTGTAATCAATAATTTTTTTCAGTGTTTGCTTCCCCTGTAAATATTTACTAGTGGTTTCATACAGAGAAATTTTGAGATTATATTTTAGATACTGTGACTGTTAGGTCACATTTAAATGATCTGTACTGTGCTAGTGAACTTTCACTATTGAACTGGATTGTGCTTAATGAAAAGATTACTAAAGAGTACTGCGATTTTCATAAAAGTGACTTTTGTAGATTCCTATCTATGGAGTAGGACACAACACTAACAGGTTTGACACACAGGATCTGTTTTGATGAAAGAACAGCATGCAGTCAAGAATGATCAGATGATGTGTGAAGATCATAATTTTGGACAGACTAAGTCATTGATGCCACCGGCCTGGAATGCTTAACTGATCAACTATGTTACATGTATTGGTCAGGAAGATGGAGATACATTGGTTTAAACTTTGCCCTTAGTCTAGCAAAGGCCAGTAGGTATTTCAGTTAAAATATACATTTTATTTTATTTGATGTTAAATAATATTTAAGGACAGGATGGCCCCAAAGAGTAGGGCACAAAGGAAGAAACAGGAACCTGCACCTCTGCAGCCATGGATGAGTTTATCTCCTTGTGCTGTGGTTTGGTTGGGTTTTTTCACTTATGCGTTTAATCTGCTTTATTTAGACTATAAGCTCTTTCAGAAAATTGCTGATGACCATGTATTTATACAGTGCACATTCCACAGTTGTACTCCAGGATTTTCAGTGTGTCCATAAGAAGTAATTTTTATCCCCCTTGATAAGTTTCCAGAAATGTGACTTGGAAATTGCTGCATGTGTTGGACTTACACCCTACATATGGCAAAGATTGATTTGCTGACATGGCTGTGTAATTAGCTTGCCATAACAGTTCAAGTCTGCATAATGTTTTGTATGATACAGCTGGCTAAAAGTATGCTTATAACTCCATTTTAACTTTAAGTATTTCAAACGATCAAAGGTCTGCTGATCATGCAGTGAATGTGACCAAGTAAAAAATGTATGGAGGTGTTCTCAAAAGAAAGTATTTGGAAACTGGTCCATGTTTATCAGGCCCCCTGGTGAGAGTGTCTGATTTCATTTCTGCAGCTGTGAGTGAAGGCAGCAGGTTTTCACTTGGCTGTCTCTTTACAAAGCAAGACCTTGAAGCAAGGCCTTGCTCCCCTGAAGTTACTGCTAGGGAATCTAGAGCTTGTCCTTTGGGATTGTACTTCTCTTAAATTTGTTGTTTCAAGTTTATGTAGCAGTTGTTTAAGATTATTCACTGATTAAGTTGTATTTGGTGGACATGATAAATGATTGGTTACGTTATCATGATAAAACATAGAATACAGTTGCTTACAGTTCTCTTCAGGATAGAATTGGTCATATAATAAAGGGATCACTTTTTAATACTATATTGAATTAAATATGCTTGCAATTTGTACCCATTTAGTGTGTTTATGCAAGTGGCTTTGGCTTCTGAAAAGGCTCTGGAAAACATAAGCTTTTTGATCTATTTGTACTGTATTCATGCACATTTACTCCTGGAAATGCCTGGTCTTTTTCTTTCAAATTCTTGCCTTCTCCATGAGGAGCACATACCTAATGTGGGCAGTGACACCAGAAGTAGCTGGTAATTGAAATAGCTGTTTAACTGATTAGTGTTAAGTTATGGACTGAAAGTGTGTATGCAGAGAATATTTCTTTTGTGTTGGCAATAATGAAGTTGTTGTGTGCAAGCCAAAATGGTTAAAATTGATACATAAATTGCCACTGGTTATTCATTTCTAATTCAGGCTGATTTTGGTACCAAGGCTGTATTAGTGAAGGTTTAATGAGACTATTAGATAAAGTAGTTGTTTTCAAGTTTAAATAAAAAGCTGTTTAAATAGCTAGCAATTACATACTTTTCATTGCTTTTTGCTAAACCAGTGTATTATAAATGCATTTATTTTTTGCTGAGTAATTAAGCCAAGTATAACCTAGAGAAAAAGAAGTCAAGAGAAGAATTACATGTTTGAAGTCGTCCCCGTCCCCCGTCCCCCCCCGCCCTCGATCTCTCTGATTCTTAAATATACTTTTAGAAAAAGCAGAAGAGTCAAGCTGTGAGCTTCTGCTCATGACCAATGTTCTGGTGCTGCAGTTCAAGTTTCTTTGATGCTCTAGTCACATGTTTTTTTGCTTTTGTCTTTTTTTTTTTGTGGTGGGTTGTTTTTTTTTTTTGGAAATCATCTGAATTTCTTGTTAAGCTTGTGTTGATAGTTTATTAAAACGACACAATAGGAAAGTATTTGGTGCTGCACAATATCTCTAATTCTTGCAAAAGCAGTCTACTATGGGAATAAAGGAGAGGGAGAAGGATGGGTTAGAATGAAAGCTTCAGTTGCATTGAATGCTAGAAATTATCATAATCTGTACTAATTTTCTAAAGAATGTATTAAGAGAAATCTAAATATACACAGCACTGGGTGAATAAGTAATCTGAGGTATCTTAAACTGTGCTTCATATGCTGCGTCCTGCACCTTTTTGAAATAGGCCCTATTCATATTCTTAAATAGAAGAATAAAGTACATGTTCTATGGAAGTACAGTTATTCAAACAGCTCACTTTCATGAGTTGTATCCAAGATCATTTGTAGAATTACAGGCATGGATTTTTAGCTGGTGTAAACTGTCTTACCACCACTGACTTAATGGAGTTAATGACAGCTGATCTCTGGCCTAGGGAGCACAGAGTTCTTCCAAATTTAACTGATGAATTATAGACTGTATTTTGATTTACAGTTGATATTTACAGATTTACTGCAGGTGGTCAATGCATCCAGCCAAGCTCCTCTCTTTGCATTATGTCAAAAGATTGATTCAGTGAGATCACATCAGGTGTGCATAACACCAGTACAGCTAGCAGCATGTTACCCAGCTATTTCTAAGCCCCATTCAGTCAGGGTGTATGGTGATGCGTTGTTGGTGATCCAGGCATTGGGCTAATATGGTAGTTCCCATGTTTAGTTAAAAGCACTGAAAACTGGCTGCGTAGTTGAGAACATAAAAGTGCAAGTGGTTGCTTTGGCTTCCATTACATTTGGCACATTGTTGTGCCAGGTATCATAAAGATCATAAAGATGCTTGGCACATTGTAAAGATTGCCCTGTAAACTGCCTGCTGTTCCTGTTTCAGTCTGTTCATTTGCTGTGGTTTTTGCTGTTGTAAAATAGCATGCAGAAAGTGGTAGAATATCTTCAAACGCGTATTTGATTTGTTGCTCTGTTATGCTTGTAGGAGATATAAAATTGAGTATATACGAAGTGTTAGTGCTTTCTAATAATAGGTTCTTTACAGGCCAGCAGTCCTGGTGAAAGCAAGCTATCTTTATATACTGTTGAATATTTTTTAAATGGAATGCAGTATGTGACTTCATCTGCACTTAAACTCCTTACATTCTTTTTCTCTCCACAGAAAATTCTGAAAGGCTGTAATTTCTTTTGAACTTAGAAATAAATGCAGGCATCCATATTCAAGTTGATGTTGTTACTTGAAAAAATTACTCTGTTGTGAATATATGTTACTCATGGATACCTGTGATACTCTGTTTTGCAGATAAAGTTGGTTGTGGATAATTTTTCTTGTTTCCTACCTATCATTCCTTATTCTTACATAGTGAATTATGAAGATTAGACTGTTAATTAAATTACTCATTATTATAAAGTACTGTTGTATCCAGGCTTATGACATAGCATTTTTTTTAATGTAAACTGATATTATTAATCTAGAATCAAGAGTTTAAAGTTCTGCAAATTGTTTTCCTTTTCCCTAGTTGGAGCCATCAAATGATTTCAGTTCGTGAGGCCAAAGCTATTCCAAGACCTGATGGTATTGAATGGAGAAACAAATTTATTTGTGTAGAAGGTAAAATGTAAAGCTGCATTATAATTTTTAACTGTTAAGACACTAAATACATAAATCTGTTAATTGGACTTTATATTGGTTGTGTATTAATAATGCACATGTGTAATATGATTATGTAGAAGAATGAAGTTTAACCAATGTAAATAGTTTTGGAAACAGTCCCACCAAAAACATTTGAGAAGGAAGCTTTAAGTTCTATAGTGTTTAAAAATAGTTCTCCTGACCTTTTCTTCAAGAGCACTCATTGCCCTGTTACTGTTGGAACAGGGATTAGGACTTTGACAAGGAATGGACTTTATGACAGTAGTGTGTGTTTTCCTGCTCTGCAAAAATAGTCGTCAGTTTTGCCAAGATTGAGTTCTGAAAAAACACAACGGGCACATACTCGGATTCCTCTATAAGAATATTCCTTGTCCCAGAAATGCTCTGACATCGCAAGTTCTAACAGTGACTAACTAGATTATGCATATGTTGATCCCCTTGTGGCTACTATTTCTGACTGGCTTGTGAATGTACAGTATCTGCAGAGACTGTATGATCATAGAATCATGGAATGGTTTGGGTTGGAAGGGACCTTAAAGACCATCTAGTTCCAACTCACCCTGTCATGGGCAGGGACACCCTCCACTAGACCATGTTGCCCAAAGCCCCATCCAACCTGGCCTTGAACACTTCCAGGGAGGGGGGATCCACAACCTCTCTGGGCAACCTGTTCCAGTGCCTCACCACCCTCACAGTAAGGAATTTCTTCCTAACATCTAATCTAAATTCTAATCTACCTTTTTTCAGCTTAAAGCCATTACCCCTCATCTTATCACTCCATGCCCTTGTAAACAGTCCCTCCCCAGCTTTCTTGTAGGCCCCCTTCAAGGGGCTGCTCTGAAGGTCTCCCTGGAGCCTTTTCTTCTCCAGGCTGAACAACCCCAACTCTCTCAGCCTGTCCTTATAGGAGAGGTGCTCCAGCCCTCTCATCATTATCTATCCATCCAGAACTGGAGGGTAAACCTAGGCTACCTTTTGGAGTTGCAGGTCTCAGCCTTTGGCTGAACTGGGCAGTAGCACTATATAGGGACCTGCTTCATGTGCTCTTGCTGCCATTCAGCCGCTGTGGGGAATCTACATGCAGAAGGTGAACAGTTAGCATGTGTAGGAGATGAACCTTGACCGAGGGAAAGAAAAGATAGTAGATCAAGAGAAGGATTGAGATGTTAGGAGAATGGAAAGAGAAGCAGGGACGGGACTGAGAGGTGCTGCGTAACTGGAAACAGTTAACAAAGAGATAAGAAAGGGGAGTGAGAATCAGAATGCAGCAGGTGAAAGGGAATTGGTTGGACAAGGGACTATGGATAAGGAACCAAGGCGGAATGGGAGGCAGAATTAGAAGTAGGTGGTTTAGGACACTGGAGTGAAGAGGGAATGTTTGAAATGGGAGAGGTGTCTTGGGCCCCAGCTGTAAATAAATGGAGACTATTAGGATCAGGATATCAAGGGTTGAAGTTTGAGGATAAGTGAGAAATGGAACTTGGACAGGAGCTAAATGGTGTGGGAAGATTTTGCTGGGGGAAGAGGGAGGTAAAGCAGAAGCCCTGTGGCTGGACAGACATTCCTGAAGATTGCTTGGGGTGGGAGTGCACCCATGTGTCCGTGCACATAATTTCTTGCGTTTGTGCTACCCTGTGCAGAGAATCATTACCCATTGGTGAAGTTAGTTATTCTGTGGCCCAGAGCTCACCAACTTGGCTGTAATCATATGGACAGCAGTGTGGAGCTACATGATAGGTTTCCCGTTCTTTATTTGACTTTTCTGGGGAAAAAATCAACTACCAGTCATAGGGGAAAAAAAAACACTGAAAGATGATTGCATGTTTGACTCTGCAGTCTGAGTTGAGGAATGTGAGAATTAGAGTATCTGCACAGCTGAAGTGATTTGGGATAGAGCAGTGCAGGCATTGCCAAGGCTCTGGTCTCAATGTGGGAGGTGGGAATGCTGGGCAGCTGTGTCTGCTGCTGTCACATGGTGCTGATCTGTTGTGTTACAAGGGGGCTGTGTGTTTCAAGCTCTTTTTTTCTCTTTTTTTTATGACATTAAAAAGTGGTTGAATAATTAGGGGTTTTTTCTATCAGGTTTGAAAACAGAATGTCAGCATACAAAATAGGCTTTTTAGAATTTGCATTAAATGGGCTTGATTACATACAACTTTTTCCTTAAGAATACATCTTGCATTTGCACTAATAAAAAAAGCAAAATTATCTATAGGTGGCACATCTGATTCCTTCCTGTTACAGTGTGCTTCAAGACTTTATTAAGAGTGGGTTTTAGCCTCACATGCCAAGTTTTTACTTCTAAATTGGAAGGGAAAAATTAAATTTCCTATTTCAGCACAAAGTAGGCTTATAACAGCTGTTAAGCTGAACTAGTTTAACAAAGCATGTAGATAAACTTCTCTGTACTTTGAGAAGCAGCTTTTAAAAGCTAGCTAAACATGTCAACATATTCTGGTTTCCAAGTCTCTGTCACGTTTTCCAGTTAGCAGACCAAAATTTCAGTAATTGGTATTTTGTATATTTTTTAATATTTTATAGGTTATACAAGTCTATGCCTGCAAGTTGCCATAATTCTCCATGTAGCACTGCATTTAGGCTCACTCAAAGAAAAAAATGTGTTCTGTTTTAATTTTTATTGGCCTTAAGACTGATTCTAACCTGTTTTTCTAAGAGCAGAAATACAAATACAGTAGAGATGCTCTTTTCTGACAGTTTAAAATCTGGCAGGCTATTGCCATTATGGGGATACAGAGAACACTGGTTTTAGCTGTGTTTGTGAACATTCCTTGTAGAAGCTCTAAGTTGCTAGTGACTATTCTGGTTTCAGTTTAAATCTTGTCTATATCAAATAATATCATACACTCTCCTGTTAAAAAAGATGTGGTTTAGAAAAGCTAGATACATGGCAATTTTGTGCGGCGATTAAATAGATAGTCATTTAGGGAAACTGGAGCAGAAGCCATCTAAGCTGCACCTGATTCATGCTTGTACTTTTAAATAATTCCTCAGAGTTTGGTTTGCAGCAGTTCTGAAGTTTTATGATGTCTTGTATTTTCATTTGGAAAGATGATCCCCTTTAGTCTTTCCCTCAAACATCAGTGTTGTTGTATTACTTTTTCTAATATCCTCATCTCTATGTGTGAACAAAATAACTTATAGACTCTCACTGTCTTGATGGTTAGAAAATGTACTGGTGTAAATAGTAGCTGATTGCAAAATTATTCTTGCTGTGCTCTAAGGAATGAGTTTGTCTTTTGACAGTAAATATGCAGGAAGAATAAGGGAAAACGTGAGTCAGCTTTTGTGACTTAAGCACCTTTTTTTCCCACTGTCAGTTTCAGAAGATTGTACAGTTTTGCTCTTACTGCTATAAAAAAATATATATCTCTTGATTCAATATGAAAGGACATAAAGGTCCTATTATTACAGAAAGAGTTAACATCACATTTAAGACATACAAAAAATTATTTTCTGCTTCATATGGTAAGGGACATGGAATTCTTAGTGACAGTAGGTCACTGTGTCAAATTATGTGACTGACTTTAGAGGACTATGTAGCTTTTCATTTGATTGCCATTTTTTGTTCCAATCTAAAAGTATGATGCATTCTAAAGTAAAATAAATCTGCCTGTAAATGTCCCCTGAAAACTTGGTAGGTAGTTTGAAGAGAAACCTTTTAGAAACCTGCCAAATACAACATGTATGGCATAAAACAATTCTTTGTGGATTTAAACAGCTTGCAGAAATAAGAATCCAGTGCCATGGAGCATGTTCCAAATTTTAAGTCTCAGTCTCCATAATGGCATAAACCCTTCTGATGTGCGTTTAATGCTTTATTTTACTGTATGTCCCTATCTGAATAAAAGCAATTCATAACCGACTAAACAAAAAAGCTGCCTGATCTAGCAAATACTTCTGTGGTTCTGTGGCCCTTAAGGACTTTCATACAGTCTGCCAGTGTGAAATATACCGTGTTACTTAAGCAGTTCTCTAATAAGGCAAAAAAGATTATAAAAGTCTGTTTTGTAGCACATTGTAATGCATAGTCTCTGCATCACAATTTTTTAGTATCTATTGCTTTAACATTGGCAATCCTATCAGTAGCAAGGGGTACTTCAATTAAGAAAAAAAAAAAGGTTCCAAAATAATAATTATGTTAGCAAAAAAAAAGGAAAGCATCACATAAACTTGTAGTCTGTTAGAAGGTAGAAGCCCCAGATTAACTTATGAACAGATACTTTAGAATAGGTATGAACTGATAAAATCTATTTTTACAGCAGTTGATACATCTTATATAAAAAGTTATAGTAAATATTTTACTGTACTCATATTTCACTGAGAAGCTGTTGAATGAGATGAATCTAAAGTGCACAGTTCCAAGAGGCACGTGTGTAGTAAGTTTCAAAACATCTTAATATGCAAAATTATATTCTGATACGTTATCACAGACTATTAAGCAGTAACAAATAAATACTGATGCATAAGTTCAGCACAATCATACTGTGCTTCAATAGGTATAATAACCTGACTTTATTATGGATTATATACTATTACACCATTCAGGGTTTGGGGCTTTTTTTTATGAATGTTATACACAAATAAAGATTGAGAAGTGAAGTAGAATCAGCTGTTGGGAAGCAATGATATGTTGAATATGTAATGTCTGATTACTTGCTCAGTGAAGACAGCCTAGCTCTAGGGTTTTTTTAATACTATTAATGTTTGATCTTGCAGAACCCTTTGATGGGACAAACACTGCTAGAGCAGTACATGAAAAACAGAAGTTTGATACTATCAAAGGGGAATTTATGAAGGTAAAAAGTACATTTTATTTAATTTTTTTTGGTCATTTTGGTTTTCAAGATAGTTATACAAATGCTAATCATTGAACCTGCCTGTTTCTGATGTTTGTGTTGTTCATAATTTTATGCTGTGTACTATACAAATAATAGACATGTCTTTTTTTAAAAATATGGAAAATTATTTGGTTAGAGTATTTATTAATATCTTGCCATTAAGCATCAAGCTTAACCTGAAAAGGGCACTTGAAACAGTAAACCCTTTGTCTTAGCTTTTCTTGTGTGTAAAATTCTAATGATAGTTAATAGCTTTAGAATTACAACTTTATCTTCATTATTACTTCCTACATGACTTTGGTAATAAACAATGTTTTATACTTCTTAATATCCCTTTTTTATAATTATTGCCACCAATAGTTTTCTGCTTGGTTTTGACAACTGAATTTAATTGGTAATTTTCTTTAGGGAGACCAAGTCATACTTTTAAAACATGAGTAGTTCAAACTGAAGCTTTCACCGCTCCAGTCAGTGGAGGAGGCAAGGACACTTTGAAGCAAGCAAAGATTTAAGCCGGTTAAATGTCATTTTTTTTTAAAAAAATCCTTGCTACCAACTCTCTTTTATCCTTGCCTCCTATCATAGGCATTGCATTTGAAACTGCAGCTCAATTTCTAGGTTTTCTGAGATCTCTGACTATTTGTAATGTAGTTATGATGAGGGATTAGTGTGCAGAACTAGCTTCCAGCTTTAACCAGTTAGATTCCCCTGTTACGCTGTCATGGGAGGCTCCTGCTTACTCCAGTTAATCAAGTTCTTAAATATCTTGATGGCTTCTCCAGCAAAAAGGAAATCAATGCCAGATACTTGTAACAAAACAAATGCTATAAGGTGTTGCCATAGTCAGAAGACAGTAACTTTTTTGCTTCTGTAATTCTGTTATGGTAGCATAACGGCATACAAAATACTGAGCTGTTCACATGTTCACATAAAATACTTGATTTTGTGAATCTGCTAAAGCAGTTGTTTACAAAGTAGTTTGGGCTCTCTCACTGTTCTGTGAAATCAGAGTGAACTTCTCTTTTCAGAGTTTTCAATTACAAAGTTGGTTTCAAACCTGTGTAGTTTCCTGAAAAAAGTAGAAGTGGTTGTTTGATCCCAGCTGTCTGGAAGCCAATATACTAGAGTGTTATGGCCCTGAAAAAAATCTTCTCTTTACTAGGAACTATAGGGAATGACAGTTGCTTAAAACTTCAAGTACTTATTACTATCTTGCACTGTTTTTAAGAAGCCTAAGGAGTCTGTCTTACTGCCTTTGAGAGATTATTCTTCCTGTGCTTTTCATGTCACATTGTGGTTTAAATGAATTCTGCATAAAGACAAGAGGGTCGCTGCAGTTGTTTGCAGATTCATGGCATGACAGATGTGTCCTAGTATTCACACTAGAATACAGAAGAAAATTGAAATAACCTATTTTAAAGACACAGTTAAGTTCTGGAAATGTCAGAGTATAACACCTTGTACCAGGAACTTTGACGTGTGAATTTGAGACAATTATTTTGCAGTCAGAATATCAATGTAGTGCTTAAATAATGTTAACTTCTCAGTCTTCACAAATCCACTCTCTTCTTGAAACAGTGTACCTTCCTCAATAGTTCATTGCATTTTATGCACCTTTTGGATTTTTTTTGTTCCCTTAAAAACCCCCACAAAACAACAACAAAAACCACCACCAAAACCCCTCTCTTTTCAAGAAGGGGAAGAATTTTTGTGGATCTGTGAGGCGTACTGCTTACAATGGTATTTAAGTATTAATGGCAAAGATACTTAGCATTTTAAAACCTTGTACTTTTTTCCCCAGTCTTGGCAGATATTACGAGAAAAGAAAGACCTGAACCGCATATTACCTTTAAGAACAACCATACAGAAAAGATAACCAACTTCTTTCCCTTTCTTCTTTTT